AACGAGCTGGGCCAAAACGTGAAACAGAACACGCCAGAGGCCTGGATAGGACGTTGTCTGGGAATTTTGCACCAGACCAGGACAAAACGCACTGGTGATAGAGAGCCAGACACCAACAAGATATGCAAGCATCGAAAACAAAGCAAACTGAATAAAACTGGACTGAGAAACAGACGAAAAACACACATGCCTCACGTTGACTGAGAATAGACAAAATAGTCACAATCCTGCCGGGAATCTAAAGTAAAACGGTTTTCACCTATAGCGGTGATAGATGCAGATCCCAGGGCTCAATCCCTAGACCTTCCCCTAGACGTGTACAGTACCCGTGTTACCCTGTGTGTCTTGAACTCCCGACCTACCCCTGAAAAGTCGTATGTTTGACTGTTGTACATAGCCTGGTCGTGAGAGTTTGATCCATAGACCTTAGCCTTAGCAGTCGTAGGCTTAGTATAGGTCGTAGCTGTGACAGTTCTGAAAGGTCAAGTCTATGACCTTCTAGAAGTTCCGGAACTGGCTCTTCGTAGGTCGCAGGGGTCAGTCCGTAGGTGAGTCAGCAAGGGACAGTCCTAGTACAGTCAGCGAAGGGCAGTCCCAGTCCTACCTCGTCCTGTCAGCGGTACCTGGTCCCGGTCACACTTTGTCTAGTCAGCAAGCACCATGTGGGACTGTGTACATCTTGGGCCCAGGGTCCAAGGGCAGACCAACGACGGTCCGAAGTATAAATAAAGAAGCAGCATCAAGTCATTCATTCATTCTGCCTGTGAGCGATGCGGAAGCGCTGTCGGAGTGTCTTGTGCTACAGAGGTCTGCACGTGCCTGTGGAAGAAGAGGGCTAAGAGGAGGAAGAAGCGGCCATAGCCGCGTGTGAATAGGAAGAAGACGGCAGCCATAGCTGCCAGTAGGATAAGAGGTAGAAGGAGTCTGTCAGTGTGTGTGTGTGTACGTGTGGGACATTCAGGGTGATCCTAGTGAGTTTGTGTGTGCGAACAAGTTGCTGGTGGATACAGTTGATCGGGTGGGAATCGTGTGGGACATTCAAGACAAGTTTGAATCTGAACTGTGTTCCTGGCCACGTTCTTATCTCAGAGCTTTGTGTGGGCGCAATGCACGAGTCGAGTCGTCATCTCTTTGCACGCATGCTGAAGCGAGTTGAGTCGAGTCAGATTGCAGTGGTATCGGAGCTGGTTCCCGTTGTCCCGCCGTTGTTACGATCGCCATCATCGTCATCATCGTGATCGTCGTCGTCGTCGTCATCGCCATAGTCGTTGTCGTCGTCGGCTGAAGGAAGGGCGCTTACGCGCCAAGTTACATGTGTGCACGCCTAATCGCACTTTGCTGCACCCTGCTTTTGCCGCGCGCCGTTGTGATGTGTGCGCGCCGTTGCTTATGCACATGCACCAAGTTGCTGCCACGCGCGATAGTTGTTACCGAGTTGGAGCGCGGTATAATCTCTCCAAGCCTTGGCCTATCCCCTTACCTTGTGGATGTGCACATACCCTTGGTACTTGCTAAGTGTAAGTTTCTCTTCTTTCTGCATTGAGTCACTTCTGTCCACGTGATAGGACTCTGTGTATGAGGTCATAGAGTTGTGGTGACCAAACCTACATGGGACTTAGTAGGGCTACAGCTACGTCTGACGACTGACGACGTGGGGACAAGACCCCCAAGGATCGGTACAGACCGGCATGGTTCTCATTGTGGTGTGGTAGGCCTGAACTTCGAGCTGCAGGCTGCGCATCTGGCTGTCTTAAGTCTTGAAAGGACTCTGCTGATCTCGTCGTCCTGATTGTGACGTTAAATAATTCCTGAGGAGTTCAGGGGATCTCCTTAAATGCCTCTTGATCAGCAATAGAGTCCTATAGTGACAACCTTAGTTGTAGTATAGTGCAGAGTCAATGGTTGGGTAAGTCTAAGTGGTGAGGAGTGGGATTGTCAGTCTGTCGTGTGTCTAACACTATGGATGACTACCCCATGTTTGCTTTGCGCATGGGCTTGGAGGAGCGCCCGTGCTCTGAAAGCTGCTATGGATGAATTGGTAGTTGTGCCCGACCATGGGTTCACAGAGTCACAATTTGTCCAACTGTTCCACCGTGCGATGCCTGAGCCATTGCAAGGGCACTTCTTTGAGAAGAAGCAGCAATCGGGCATGATTTACAATCAGTTGAGTAGGGATGTTGTTGCTTTCGCTGCCCACTCTATGCGAGTTACCACTTTTTGGGATAAGGATCTTGACAAGGGGAAAAAGTGGAAAGGCCGCATCATCTCAAGTCAGGTTAAGGCTAAGGATCATCTCATACTGACCATGAAGGGGGGTGGTGTAGAGGAGGTCCCTTACAGTGACGTAGAGCGGGGCCTCGATGATACAAACAATAGTGAGGGTCATGGGAGTAGCTACGTTGCTGTCGCGGTTGGAGGGAGTCACAAGGAGGTCGAAGGGGCCAAGGCCAAGGTGGCCAGGCCTCTGGTGGTCGAGGACAGGGTGGCCAGGGGGTTGGAGGCAGGGGAAACCACCAAGTAGGAGGAAGGGGTCAAGTTCCCCCGTCAAACCATCCTCGTTCTAATCGATCACCTCCCATAGGGGGTGGTTGGCACCCTGGTCTGCCTAAGGGCCGACCCTGGGAAACTTTGGGCATTGAGAATAAGGATTGGCAGGACAGGATAGATAGGTTTCAGTGCGTGTTTTGCGGTGACCCTGGGTACATTATCAAATTTTGCCCAAAGTACATAGGTGCCCGTTTGAAGGATTGAATCTAGATCAAATACAAAGACTACCGCCCGAAACTAGAGAGTTTGCATTACAGCGTGAGAAGGAAATTGGGAAAGTGATTGACAATCTAAGAAAGGCTCAACACAGAATGACAGGCAAGCTAAATAGGCATCGTCGACCATCTCAGTTCCAGGTAGGTGATTTAGTATGGGTCAAGTCAAACGAGTTCGCTCGAGAAGAGAGCATCTCACAAAAGCTATAAGCTTGTATAGAGGACCGTGGCCTGTGCTAGAAGTTAAAGGTGGAGAGGACGGACCTTCGTACACCATAGAAATTCCACCCACCTCCACACGTACCCAATCTTCCATGCATCCAAGTTGCTACCTTGTGTCACCAGTTAGCAGTTTCCATCACGTCGATCGATGATTCCGCCAGACATGGATGGCACATACGACATAAACCACATTGTGGAAGAGGATGTGTTTAGGACCGGAGGTAGAGGTCGTCCCCAGAAGCAATATAAGGTCAGGTTCACTTATTAGGAACCCGAGGACGACCGCTGGTTCACAAGGACAGAGCTATTAGAAACCGCTCCCGATATTGTTCATGCCTATGACAGAGCGAGAAAGGCTAAACGTCCCGCCTTCCAGTAAGAGATTCTCGGAGGAACTCGAATTTAGGACGGCGGGAGTGAAACGGTTTTCACCTATAGCGGTGATAGATGCAGATCCCAGGGCTCAATCCCTAGACCTGCCCCTAGACGTGTACAGTACCCATGTTACCCTGTGTGTCTTGAACTCCTGACCTACCCCTGAAAAGTCGTATGTTCGACTGTTGTACATAGCCTGGTCGTGAGAGTTTGATCCATAGACCTTAGCCTTAGCAGTCGTAGGCTTAGTATAGGTCGTAGCTGTGACAGTTCTG